GTTGCAGCAGCAGCCAGAGAATTGTGTGCAATGAAGTGCAAGTGAACTTAAAGTGACTAAAGATAGTCCCAGCTACCTGACCACACGAGAGATGGGCACGTGAGCCCAGTGGATATCCGTGCGGATCCAGGCACACGATTTCAGAGAGATGCTACATTTAAATATATTTGCTTAAACTACCCAGGATTCGGGTCAGATACAAAAAAATAAACAAATTAATTTAGAAGCACTGAAAAACGGCAATGAGGAAATGATTATACTATTTCATTCCTAGCAGAATGTGTAATTTATGGTAGAACCATTCAAGACTTGATATATCCGAAGATCTTGCCATTCTGCATGATATGAATAAATTTAAATATCCAAAACATTTAATAAACAAATGGTTTTGGTTGAACTCACGAACCCGTTCTCCCAGGGCCTGCTTTAAACCAAAACGGAAGTGCCACTCGATTCCCCAGAGCGGAAGTGGATATGGATATGGAGACCGGAGAAGCAGCCAGGTTTATGGGCATGAGGGCCGTTCAATAAATTTCAACACTCTTAAATTGGCAATGCGATGCAGGGGCATGCATCGATGTCCATGGGCCGGTGTGGCGGAGTCAGTAGTCATGGGTCCGTTAAAGCGGGCACGGTAAAATTGATAATCAATCAAATGCGGCGCTGACGCAGCCAGGCACTTAATCACTGTCTGGTTATCCTTTTTGTTTCGCTGGCTTAACTTTTATCAATTACGCCTTTTTGCGACTGACAGAGATGAATCACGGGAAATCAGCATTGCATTGAGATGTTGTTTGCTCCGCCGACTGGCTCTTTATTAATTCAATTAACGTTGCGCTGGTAATTGGTGTGGAATTAGCCTGGGCGACTCAAGTCGAAAGCCTGTGGATCAGGTACGACTTATGGCCAATAATCAGAGCCTTCTGTGGTTCTCCAGTGCCATAAACCGCAACGCAAATTTCAACAACTACATATGTATGCATGTAAGTTTGCTGCCAATTGCACAAATGCAATTTCCATGTCTGTGTGTCGAATAAGCAACAACAGTTGCACTTGAGGCATTGTGCAATTAATAAAATGTCCGAGTGAATTGAGACCAACCACAGGCCTCTCTCTCTCTCTCCACTTTCCCCTCATGTCTGTTGACAGTTGGTCGAGAAAAGTGCAAGTTCAATCAGTAGCTACAAACTGCAATCGAGAGTCAACAATCGAGAGTAAAGACCGCAGCAGGGTGTCGCCTCTGCCAGATTCAATTACACAAAAGCCCGAAATCAAAGCAAAGAAAATTTGCTTCTATAATTTGGATCGCATAAATCAGAAACAGACATAGACGGAAGATTCCCGGGGTGACAGCAACTACTTGATACCCTAAACATCAAACAGGGTGGTGAATTGAAAGACGCACTAATGTACCCGCAATTTGGAAGAGCAGACGAGGTCCGAATTATGGAATTTCCCTAGTTTGAGGCAAAGACAAAGACAAACACGGGCACCAACACAAAGGCTGCCCCCAGACAGGAGTCAAATAATTAATGGCCAACCGGGGAAGGCAAACAAACAAGCTTAAAACGAGCAAAAACACAACCGAAACTGAACTGAGCCAAAACGAAGCGAAACCAGAAAAAAACTGAAGGGGAAGGTCAACTTGAACGCGATGTTTTAAATGCACTTTCTTGTTAAAGCCAGTCTCATTTGTTTGTGATTTAACAAATACTCTTGAACTATGTGGACAAATATGTATTTCATGTTGAAAATATATAGATTTAAATTCCCTTATATAGGTAAAAAGTGTTCCTAAGTATACAAATGCAGAAAATGCAACAAATATTTTTAAATATTACTGTGGACAGTAATTTATTACATATGGTTTAATCCTCAAGTACAGTTAGTGAGCATACCTTTTGCAAGGGTATCGAACGAAACCAGGAAAACTGATTTGCATGAGCAGAACGCGGGAAAAAGGACGCTGGGCTGGAGGATCATGTGTGTGGGACTGGCGGCCACGTCGGTTGCCTTGGATGCCGTCAGTAGCTTGTTATACACTGTCCTCTCCACTGTTCCGCCAGTGCCACGCCCCCCTCCCGAGGATGTCTAGACTTTAAGTTGGCTAATAGCCGACACTGATGCTTTTTTTTATATTTTGATGGTACAATATGGTATGTGGACCGAGCTCTTTGGCCAGAAAGCCAAAAATTTGTAGTAAACCGAATTTGCGCTCTCTTGTATTACTTATTTGGTCCATTATTTGTGCTTCGCTTGGCTTTCGCTTTTATTTGACTTTGGCCTTTTGTGCAACGCTTTTTGTGGCCCAAAACGAACCCTGCACTTGATAATGAAATATATAAACGTGGCTTCTCTGCGAGTGGGTGAAAATCCGTGGGCATAAGGCTTATAACACACACAGGACACGGGACACAGGACAACAACGGAAGCAACAGGAAAAGGACTTCATACTGGCGGGGTTCGAGAACCGAACACAGAAACTCGCAGCGAGAAATCATAAATTAATCCGATTTAAGCAGCTCAGTAGCTTATTTTTATGCCAACCAACTCGCAACCATCGGTTTTTGTTGTTTGATGGAAGCGGTGGGGTGGGATTTATTCCTGCCCATGTCATGTGTTGCATCTTGATGAGTTGCGGCAGCATTTAAAGGAGACCAATTTGTTTGGCAGTGGCTCAAGAGCCAGGAAGCTGACATGATTGGATGCTGACGATGACTGAGATGATGATTCGTTGTCAAGGTAGGAGAGCTCTCGAGTGCCAGAGCTCAGTTCAGAAGAGTGCCGGAGTTCATTCGAGTTCGTCGGGGTTTAGTTCCGCTGCGGACGGAGCTTGTGCCCTGGCAACCAAGGAGCTCAGCGACGGCACAGGGAGAAAATTCAGATTCATTAAGTTGTTTGCTCATTCATTTCATCATTACATTATGTATATTTCCATCTTTTGGTAACATTTATTCTTAACATATTTATTAGTTTATTGAAGATATTATAAAGTACAACACAATATAAAAATTTGATGTTACCAGTAAACAACTTTAAACCTGATTTTCAAAAATTTTTAGTTTTTTGAACATCATTAAAAACTTTTTATAATCTGTTTAGGCAAACGTAGATGGCAGATGCTTTTTCCGGTGTGGCTCATTATGAGCAAAGTTTTTACGCAAAATCCTGCGGAGGAGGATGCGGCTTAAGTGCGCCATTCCGAATTCAATTGAGCTTGAAGTGTTCGAAAAGCAAAAGACATCCAGTCAGCCAGCCAGGAGATGTCGCACCGCCGGCAGGCAGCTCAACTCATCTCGGGTTGGACTGGTTCCGAGCTGTGGGTTATGGGAGTAAATACCAGAGAGTGGCTAACAAAACGATTGGGATTTGTCTGGCTTTGTTTTTCTTTGTGTAATCCATAAATATTTCCATTTCAAATTGCGCAAATTGCGTTATGCATGCTGTGTGATTTTCGCATAAATTCAAAACAAATTTGCTCTGTCAATTTTTCACCTCCATTAAATGCGAGTCCTGTTGCACTTTTGGCCAACATTGTTTTAGTGGCTGCATTGACAAGGACAACGCTGCTAATTGGAAGGAGTGCTTCAGTTTATCCCATTTAAATTAATCGAAACGGCTCAATTCCCTGATAATCCGCACTTGCTGTGCTGTGTTTTATTTATTTTTTGTTTTAAGTAGCTCGGTGCAGCTCGAAAAAGAGAGAAGCCGCATAGCATTGACACAAATCCACAGCTGTTTAAATAGAAATTGCGCATTTAGCGCTGGCCACGCCCCCGCCACTGTCGCCGCCCACTCGTAGCCAGAGCAAACAGATAAAAAGAGCGCACAGAATTCGTGTTATTTCTGAACGAACAAAAATATTTACAGATTGTTTTGGGGCAAAAGCAAAGAACGGGGGAAGTTGCGGCAATTACCAAACGCCGAATCAATAATTCCATATAATTTGGGCATTGTTTGGGACCCAAAATAATAACGCAATTCTCTTTATGACGAGAGCAATAAGAATTCCACCAACTTGGCTACTGATTAGCCTCGCTCACAAACAAGGGGCTCTTATCAAAGTGAGTTTGAGTCATAAACGAAATCGCTATGGGTTCCGTCAGTTGCTCTTGATCGGACTGCTATATACATATATGATTCACGATTTGTTTCATTATAAAGTCTCGGGAATTTCATTTCCATATGATTTACTAAAGTATTAGTTTAGTTTTATCGCAGCAAAGGCTGTTTTTGTTTGCGATATTATCAAGATTAGATAGGAAGTATTATTTAGCAAAGTCAATTACAGGTTGTACCAGTAAACTTTCAGCTAAACGGAAACTGCATCCATTAAATTCACATTAATTAGTTACTGCCTTACAGTTCCGAATCGCACTGCACATCGATATAAAACTAGGCGTACACAATTTATTCCTTCGACATTTTCGCGCCGCAAGCGCTCATAAAGTTGTCAAAATGATTTAGCAAATTTTGTAGTTGCGTGTCGCCACAAATGTAAAATGTTTCGAGATCTGTTATGAATGTTTAACAAATTTTTAGTTGGGTTTCTATCTGTGTGTGACTACCGTCTGTGTGTGTGGGTTTTATCTGTCTGAGTGTTTGTGTGTCTGTTGGCATTAATATAGCGGGAGGAAATTTGTTGAAAATTGGGAAAAATACGGCTTTTATTTGTTTTGGGTAACGTGCGCAAAAATCGCACAGAAAGCGACCACAAAAAGTGAAACTTATATCCACGGATTTATTTTTAACAAAAAAAAAAGCCAGCAAGCACTTAAATACATAAATAAATTAACTGGCCAACTAATATTCGTTTTTCGCGTTGTTGCCAGCGTAAATTTAATTTCATTTTTCGGAGAGTGTTTCCGAACACACAAATTCCATTTGTCAATCGTCCGATAAGCGAATTGTTTCTGATTTTCACACATGTTTACTCTGGCCTGTTGGGAAATGGAAATATTCGAAGGGGACGGGGCGGGGCAGGGTCCATTCTCACTTACCTTTTGCACCAGAAGGGGCTGGGCGAAGTCCGTGCCCCCCTGAAGGCGGAATCCCCAGGGCTGGGCATCGAAACGTGACAATTTGACTTGCAGCAACTGTGGTTGGGCCATCTTCTTTTAGCGGTGACTGTAAGGGAGAAAGAGGAGAGGGGGGCGAGCGTTAGTTAAATTGACGATAACATGGCGTATACTTGATATCACGTAGCCGACTAATTAATGAAATCAAAACCCCGACGCACACGAAACCGGCAAAAACATCGCAGACAGACGACTGCGTATTGCTCCTTTTTGGCCACTAATAAAGACATTATTCAGGCATGTCCAGGCTAATCCTGCCAGCAGTCAGACTGCTCCTGCCATCACACATCCTGGGTAGGGTATCACCCTGCCCCGAATTATCACCCCCAAAAGGATTGCCGCCTCAGTTTCCACCTCCCACAAACCGGTTGCCAGATGCAGCTGCATGCGGAAAAGCTGCTGCGTCGTTTTGTGTGCCAAACTGAGCCAACATATTCGGCTGACTGAATGCAGCAGGCAGCCAGCAAAGTGGTTGAGAGGTGGCATCGACCAGGGGTATATCCTGGGGATTAAAGAATCGATGAAGATCTACAAAACAAGGGACGAAGTCTCGGCCAAGTCCCAGAGATTTCATCACGACCTCTGAATTGAAAACTTTAAGTTTACCTGCTTAGTCTCCCTCTCTACTTCAAGTTTAAGAAATCTCACACCGTTTAACTCAAACAATCTACGACTTGAAAAGGTGCAAAGGGATGCCCTATTTATTTTCTTCTTTATTGGGTATTTTAATTTGGAAAGATTTTAAATACAGAAAGTTAATTTCTTATTTCATAAGTTTCTTGATCACTCCCTCGTTCAATGCCCATTTGGCTGTCCCTCTGCAGGGTGTGCGACATAAAACGAGTTAAACTTTGTTAGATATCGCCTTTTTTTGCACACACAGAAACTCACACCCCGGAAAGGGGACTTGGAATAGGACTAGGACTACGAAGGACCCACTGCCTCCCTGGCCCTGGCCACAGTGAGTGCTGTAAGTAAGCGCACCCCAAACGGCACATGGAGCCGTGTTGTAAGTGTGGCTTACACGGGTTCCCGTCCGTCTTTCTTTACGTCCCTACGTCCACCCTAGCTTCTCCCTATTCTCTTCGTCCTGCTCCATGTCCTGCCGCACTTTTTACCCGTCATAGCTTTGTAATTTGTACGTGCGTCGCAGGGGGTGAAGGGTATGGAAAAGGGGTCAGGGAAAATGGAAAAGTGGGCGAAACACGGGTGGGTGTCTGTTGATTTAGTTTGCTGCATAACAATTTTGCTGAGTGTTGTGTTTTTTATTAGCAAAGACACATTTGCCCAGTGCTCGCTCTCTTTCGCTCCGCATCTGCCCTCTCTTTCCACGGAAGACACTCAAAGTGGAAGTAACTACATTAAGCTATTAAAACGACAGCAGCTGCCAGTGGAGATGGGATGGGGTATTCCAGGGTCGGCGGGGCAGGGATATCCGCACACATATGGAAAAGAGACATTTTAGCACACACAGCAGTTTAATTAACGTTAAGTGCGGGTGGTAATGGCTCCATCTCGAGTCCAGGTTCCAGGTTTCCGGCTCGAATTCCTGCCAAGAACCAGGGGGACAAGGGCACAGGCCGTAACACGTTGACGGCATTTGCATGTAAATACTTTGTACGCCATGAAGTTGGCCCATTAGACGCCCCGGCAAACCAACTGCACATGCACGGGAATAATTTAATTAAAATATTAAATAAATGCGGAGTGGATCGGTGCGGAGGCGGCAAACTCTTCCACGGATTCAAAGTGCCAGACTGAAAGAGGCTAAAAGCGCAACAACACGAAAATGCAAACACGGACGCGTCTCTCCAGTTCCGAGGAAAAGGAAAGGAATGGAGCGGGGGGAAATGGGAGTTCTGGGGCTAAAGGAGCCGTTTGGAGTCCTGGCTAATTACTGGCTCAAATGCTCTTGCCACGAGGATGCTCTGTGGCTGACAAAATGTCATCGACAATTTAGCACACTGCGAGATTTAGAAGTTAAACTAAAGTGAGATTAAGTGCTTATTAAGAAATTTGTAGGACAAACATTTAGTATTTCTGACCTTCAGTATATTTTTCTGTGATTATTAAGTTCTAAGATTCCAATATTTATGTATTTGCATTTAAAATATTTAAGATATTTTAAAAGTGTATCTTCATTCAGAAAAAGACACTTCGAAATTGAAATTCGAAACTATAAAACGAAACCTTTTTAATGAATATTATGTTTGGCGGTTTTTCAAGGGAATATTCTTTTAAATAAATTATGTCTTTATTTAAGGCCCACACATATATACATATAATGGGTATTATGCCACTTTTATAAATTATAAGAAAAATATTTAATTCACTCTAAACCTAAATTTCAATTTATATCAAAGTAAAGGTTTATCCAAAAATATTGCTTCTAAATTTCTACTTTCTTATCGGTTTGACAAAGCCCCCTCCCAATATTTCCAATCCCTTTTCTATGGCAGTGACGACAAGAGGAAAGCCTAATAAATGGAGAGATTTGTTTGCCCCAGGATTAGGCTACTCCTTCTTCTGCAAACCCTTTTCGCACTCATTCCTTTAGAGTGCCTGACCCAGTTCTCTGACTTTAAGTCGGCCTTGGGCAAACTGCGGCACAAACTTTCCATATGCAAGCAATTTGTAAACAAATTATTTGATCCTCAAACAGCCAAGTTGCTCCAGCAACTTATCAACTTGACGCCGCACAAGCAACAACAAGCGGCAACAAATCCAAACTTGGTCAACCATGTATCATTAACAAAGTTGTCCAGTTGGCAATCCCACTGCAGCTTTATGACTAATAACCAAATGCGAGTGGGCAGGGGGGTTTCGAGGGGTTGGAAAAGCCGGCGGGACACGTAGCGGCGTAGTCCGTTTCCGGGTACAGTGAAACATCGATTTTGAGACTGCCAATGCAAAACCGTTGTAGCGGCCAGTGTCAAAAAACGAGTTATCGCTAATAACTTTTACACACACAATTGGCAAATTACAATTTATTTATGTGCCGCTGATGGTTGCCCCTCCAGCAGTTGACCACCCCTCCACCTCCACCTCCCCGTCACCGTCCAAACTCTCCTCGAAATGCAGTTTGCATTTGATTCAGGGCGAGAGCAACAAATCAATTTGCATGCGGTAATTCCAAAGATTTATTGCCAACATTTTTCGGAACGAGCAGGAGGGCGTGGTGTATTCAGTATGCAAAAACTGTAAAATATCCGAAAATTTATAAAAGTTCTCTTGTGCGGCGAAAAAGGGCGGTTTGTAAGCCGATTTCCTGTCACTGAAAGAGCTCTATAATGGAAATCGCAGCAGCTCATGAGTTGCCATTACCAACGGAGCAAGTGAGCAGAAATCAAATTGATTTTGGCATCATTAGCAGTTGCCCCCGCCATAAAAGCCAGAATAATAACAGAGAGAGAGTGGAAAGCAGACAAAAGGAAAAAAAAGTGGTAACCGAAACCAAACTGGAATCATCAGCAGTCAAAGTCGATGGTGATGATGATGATGTTGATGTTGCTGCCTGCCACTGATGATGTCATGGTGGGTAAAGTCCGGGTAAAAGGGGGCGGAAAGCGGGAGGTGGCGGCTTTTGGGGTCGACAATTCGATTTGGCCATTTCGCACGCTGCTTTAGAATACACAGTGCGAAAATGGGCTAAGTTTAAGAACTAAGGTTGTGATTGCAATGCAAAAGAAATTTGTACCCTAAGAAACTAAAAATAAATTATTAATTAAATTATTTATTTAACATAACTAGAACAATATTTAAAGCCTAAATATTTTTGAGAGTTTTAAAAAAGAAAAAATAGAAATGATCATTTATAAAAACTTATCTCTGTTTTAGTTTTTCAACTCCGTTTCGCTGAGAATAACTTTAATTTCCCAACGTTTTTCCCCTTGTGTACTCCCAATTGAAATTAGAATCGCTTTCGAAACACAGAGTCTGGACGGGTGTTTATTCTGAAATATCTGTTTATCAAATGGAACAGCTTCAATCTGTAATGAGCCAACTAATTACGTGCTGCAGACTCTAAACAAATCGGGTATTAGACAAACATTGTGCATTTGGTTAGCTGGTCATTTCAACACATTAATAAACTGCATAAGGGAACAGCTCATTAAAAGCCACTCGACTGAGGCAGCAACAGCTTTTCCATTTCCCATTTTCCAGCTCCCATTTGACTGCCGGCTGTCAAGTGGTCGAGGCCCAAGAAAACTACTTCAAAGATATGTTGGTGTTGCTGCTGCTGCTGCTGCTGCTGATGTGCTGGCTCTTTGGGCCAAACAAAAGTGAAGCCGGAGCGACATATTCACCCACTAACTGGCAGAAGTTGGTTGAAATTAGGAGTGGTGGGGAAACGCAGTCGGCAGGCAGTCAGGGAATAACAAGCCATGCAAATGCCATGCCGCACATCCATATGTATGTGTATATGTACCCATATGTGTGGCAAAGTGCTTTGCAGTTCCTCCGGGGAATCGAAACGGAGGGCAGCGCCAAGTAGTGAACGCGTTGATTTCGCATTTATGCAAATTTCACGTACACTTCAAACTGCTCAACGTTTTTTTCGTCTTTATTTTTTTTCGTGGCTCCCCCGCTCTTTGCCTCTTCAAGTTCTTTTCTTTTCTTTTTTTTCCCTCGTTGTTGCTTGGCTTTTTTCACAGACGCGCTTTTGTTAGCCTGGCCAAAACTAAACTTTGGCTGCTGCTGAGTGAAACTGAAGTTGCCGGTGGGGAAATGGAGGGCGGGGGATTTGAATGGGCCCGGCCGGGAGTCTTAGAAATTCTGCCTGGGGGCGAGTGATTTTTGAATACCGTTCAGACAGCGCTAAACTCGGGTATGTGGGATTAACGGAGTGAATGAGGTATAACAGCAACGGATCATCAAGCCTGTCAATTTTAACAAGAAAGCTGGGTAACTTTCTGTTGGTCATATGATCCCAAGTATTTTTAAAATATCAGCTTTCATGAAGTTTTAAGTATTTGTATAAAATAGTTTGTATACTAAACATAAATACATGGTATTTATTTCTCTTCAAATATAAATAGGAAATGATTG